CCCCAAAACCCCAAAACCCCAAAACCCCTTAAGTATAAAAATCTGAAAAAATTTATCGTCTTAAGATATAGTAACTTTAATATCTAAAATATTCATTGACCCTCAAATATCAAATTAGATCAACTGATTTTTAATTAAAAATTTCTCATTTGCTAACATTATTGAAATTCCATTCAAATTTATCTCCAAAAAAATCTACATTTAACCACTCATTGATTGTAATAAAACTAGGATTTCTAACTTAATCGTTACTTAGGTTATGCTCGAACTAAAAATCTAGGTGATTAAGAATTATATTAATGTAAGGAGCCCTTTATTGATGCTAAAATTTCATCCTTACTATTCATGCTTTCTTAATCTAATTCTTGCTTTATTGATTCATTACTTTCCTTTTCAGGATATGCTTTATTTTCATCATCTTGATTTTAATTTACAAATGCTTGATTATATCTTCGAGGTTTGGTTATTCTAGGTGTTCTAGATCCGCTTTAAATGATATTTTAGTGTCTTTTCACATCATATAGTTCTAGATTTTCTATTTCCTAAGATTAATTTATGCTGCTCCTTGCATTTTCATTATCATCCCTAATCAACAAACTACTCCTACTTTTATTTTATTAGATAGATTATTTATCATTTAACGAGTCAGTCTAAGTTTGTAAGATTGTATCTTCCCTACTCCTGAAATTTCTTTAAAGATTTATTTAAATCTGGTTTTAGTCATTCAATGCTTCTTTGTACAAATTTATAGTCGAAGAATGAATGGAATTCTCAGAAATGATATCATCATCTGATGTTGTACCATTTGTTTTTAAGTATTTATTATTTAGTTGAGGAGTTAAATAGTCTATAATTTCATGATTTCTCAAAGGCTTAATTCTCACATTGGATTTTAAAATGTTTTCTAAGCTACTTGTCGAATTAAATGGAGATTTTCTATGGAATGGTGATTGAAATGCCTATATCCCAATTTTGCTTTCTCTATCAGGCATCAATGGTTCAATATGAATCACAGGAAGATCTTTTTGAGAATTGTGTTGACGGAAATTTACTTTTTAATTTAATGCATTATTGAATCTTGAACTGAAACCGATTTCAAAGCTTGTTCTTTCAGACATAATTCCTCTCATCGTACTTTGATTGTTGATGTCATCTGCATTATTTTCAGGATCTTCCTCTCTTATCACTGTAAGATCAAGTTTAAGCTTTGGAATATTTTCCTTTGCTTTCTATTAGACATTATAATGAAGACTTTATATCTCTCTAAAAGTTTCTGCATTTATCGATGGAAAAGACTTCTTGATTTTATGGTATTTTTTTAGCAACAAAAATCTTTTAACAATGAGAAAGGTAGTCATTATATAATCTCCAAAAATCCAAGTCAAATTTATTACAATATTAAACAAGAAGATGCCAATGAATAAAATACTGAAATCATATCAAATACCCATTTCATCAACATTATTATTATAAACAAGCATTATATAACTCAGTATTAATGTTGTAATTTCATTGAATAACTCCTGATGCAAGCCTTAAATTATGGGTCTAATTCTTAAAAGGTAGCAAATATACAATAAATTGCAAGTGATGAAAAATAAAACTTAAAATGCTAAGATTTCTTCAAATACATAAACAAAAGCAATGTATATTATCCTTCTAACAATAAAAACTGTATGAAAATAGATACTCCAATAATTACTATCATTTAAGTTTTCATGGAAAATGAAGAATTTCAATTTTAGAACTTGATCTATTTAGCTATTTTAATTTCTTTTCAAGTTAAACCTTTTGAGAAGTATAACAGGAAATATTCCAATGAATAAACTACTGAAATTAAATAATACAGAGAGAATAAATGAAACTTTTTCTCCAAATGTATGCAAGTTTATGTAAATGAAATTAGAAATGCTTGAAAATCCTGCTTCTAGGCTTGTCTCATAAAAGAAACGAATTAATCCGTTATAGAATAAGTATTTATAGAGCCTGCTTGAAATATTCTAATGCCTAAAAACATAATTCAAAAAAAACTTACTATTTCAGGTTCACATTTGAAATTATGAAATAAACAAAGCAAAGAACAAGGTAAAAAAACAGAAAAAAAATTGGTGGTCCTATCTAAAATACAAAATTGGAATTATCATAACCAAGATAATCAAATCTACTGTTGTATGGAGGATATGAGCTTTTAGAATCTAACTAAAATATATGTCAAAGGGCATTTGATGTGTTTATTGGATCAAATGTAATCACATAAAATAATGCTCTCAAAAACGTATATATCTCGTAAGTGTAAGGAATACTAAACAGAGGCGTGTGTATAACTAGTTAGAGTGTGTTAACAAAACCCCATAATAATTATAAACTTGCTCCTGATAATAGACTGAAACCAATACCACCATAAATTCCAACTGAGATTGCTGTCGCTACTGTATCTCCTATGATTTTGATATTGTTGGTTTCTGAAAATTATAAAATAATATAAAAGCTTACTATTTATATTAAAAGGCAACAATCTTTTTATTAATCTTAACTTTTGATTGTAAGGATATATTAATGAAATAACTATTTCATCAGAAGTTTAGTCTGATGAAATTAATTAAGAATCCTTATAATCAATTTAAACGACAATCTACCCATTTTGATCAATCTAGATGTCCCATCCTTCAATCTGATTCCCTAATCTCCCTTCTGTTGAAATTGATAAAATAGATTTAAGAGTATCTGAGTTATTTAAAAACTTTAAACCCGCTTCACTTAGTCCTAGACTAACTTATCCATTATTATTTATAGAATTAATAAATATATCTTTTTCTGAAATTTAATCAATAGCTGTTTATGAATTTTAATCTAGATCTTATTAATTTCCTTAAATACTGTCAATAATAGGCTTAATTTAGCCAATTCTTTGCCTTTGTATAACATTTATTATGAGTTAATAAGAATTTTCCATAGGATACATTTCATCATCATCTCTTAGAATCAAGCTCAATAGTTATTAACCAATATTCTAATTTTTAGGTGTCATACGAATAGTATTTTGATCATACTAAATAAATTCAGGTAAATATGGATAAAACTACAATTTAAGATACAGACTAACTTAGTTATTTTCCCTATCTTTTATAGGTGGTAATTAGTATTATGAATTTTCATTAGCATAAATAGTAATTATCTCATCTAAATTTTATGAGAAATAAGGAGGCGTATTTGTAATCAAAATTTCTATGTCAATATTTTCAGTTGTGCTTGTATTTTGATTTGTTGAATTATTTGAATTATCTTCGATGGTTTAGTTCATGTTAGAGCTGCTATTTGTGTTATTTAAACTGTTTGTGTTATTAGTTGTATTATCTATTGAAGTATTATTATTTTCAGGAATGATTATTACTTGATCCACTGTTTTAACTTACAAATTGAAAATAGTGCTTTTGCTAAGTATATTGTTAACTGTTCCTATCAGTTTAATCCTATAGGACCCTATAAAAGTTTAGTCAAGGGTATATCCTTAGTAACTAACTCCACCATTATTATTTTAAGTGAAAGTTAAAAAACTCGGCAAAGGACTCCCATCCTCTAATAAAGATTGATATACCCATGCAATTTATGTTGTATCAGAGCATTATTACTCAAATTTGAATTCTTATACTGCTAAATAAAAGTTATCACCAATGTTATAAATTTGATCTTAGATAATTGGAGTCACTAAATTATTCTAATATGATTTGCATTCCTCAGGCAAGCTTTCTTATAATGTTAGATTTATTTATTTTTATACAATAGTATTGTAGCTTTAATAATCTAATGTTATTACTATAGGTCTGAATATAATCACATTTGATCCAATACTAATTGATCCAATAATAAACTAAGTCTAAACTATAAATGCTAAATTAGTAGTAGATTATGCACTCAAGCAACTGACTTAGGGATAATTCATTACGAAACCCAAATTCTATGAGTATACTTTTTAGTTTATTTAATTTGTACTACCAATATAAAATACTTGAGATTTGAGAATGCTGATATAAGCATTCTACGTATTCTATCCTAATGAAGAAGTACTAGTTGTAAGTTTAGTAACTGTGATGGTACTCGATTGAGAGGCTAGATTCAGTAGTCCGTAATAATTATATCCACCTTGAGAAATAATGAAATACCCATTTAAGTTATTGAGTTTGACATCTAAACATTAAGTTTTTGTTGTTGTAGGGTAATACCAGCTTCTGGTCATTGTATTTACTGTCATTGAAGACTCCACAAAATAAACAAATGCCACCTTGTTGAGATCTGTACCTAGATTCTCAACGCAAACTAATTAGTTTATTGTATTATCAGGCTTTTAAAATAACCCAATTTTAGTTATGTATTACTGAGTTGTAGAAATGCCAGGGCCTTTTAATTATTTGGAATACAGCCATTATATATTTGATAATTAAACTTTTGTAATAATTGGCTAGCCATTATGATTTCCTCCAAGGAATATTTGCTCCAAACCAGATATATATGCAACAGATTTTCCTATTTCATTATTGATAAAACTTCCGAAGGTCTTGCTCACGGTTGATGTTATTGTATTTGATGTTGAAGTAAAAAGGAATGAAGCTATGTAAATAATGATACCTCGCCACGATATAGTGTATATTTAGCCTTAAGAGTTCATAAATATACCCATTGGAATTTTTTATAGCTAAATATTTTAAGTTGATGTATCGATTTCGTAGAATGATTTTAATAGTTATCCTGTATCATATCTGAAAACTAAAATAGAGTATTATGGATTGTCAGATTGAGCAACTATGAAATTTTGAATTCCCTATTAAATAGTACATTCTTTTAAATTTTATGGCGATACTACACCAGTTCCAGCATTTAGTTATTATTGCCATTTCAATTTTCCAGTAGCTTCTGAAATCTTCATAATCACTGGAGAATTTGCATTAGAAACAATATCAGTTGAGTTTGAAGCCCCTCCTATAATTAAAAATCCATTTTATTGCTAATCATGATCAATGCAATTGAAAATAGAATTTCCAATCATCCCTCCTAATATTTATGGGTAGGAATAACTACTTGTTTTCTAGAGACAGATGTTTTCTTCAATATTTAAAAGAGCTCAATTCTTTGTAAATTAATACTTAATATCTATGCTTAAAACTTAGTTGGCTGTGTATAAAATTAGCAATATACTTCTAATATTTGGAATTAAAAAGGAAAAGAATATTCCATTTTATTTGCTTGAACTCATTATTTAACTCTTTATTTTATCTCAGTCAATATTTAATCTATTACTAATATCAACTACGCAAATATTAGACACTAGGGGTTTTGGGGTTTTGGGGTTTTGGGG